GTTGTACCCAAAGTAATAAGATGCCTAAGAATAAACCTAAGAATTGAAAGATTTGTACTCTGAAAACTACAAAACATTAATGAAAGAAATTGAAATGACACAAAGAAATGAAAAGATATTCCATACTCATGGATTGGAAAAACAAATATTGTTAAAATGTCTATACTACCCAAAGCAATCTGCAGTTTAATTGCAGATTAACTGTTCAATGCAGTCTCTATCAAAATACCAACAGCATTTTCTATACAAAAGTTTGCATAGAACTTCAAATAGCCCAAGCAACCTTGAAAAAGAAAAGCAACGCTGGAGGCATCTTAATTCCAGACTTCGAGTTATATTCCAAAGCTGTAGTGATCAAAATAGTAGAATACTGGTACAAAAATAGGAATACAGATCAATGGAACAGAATAGAAAACCCAGAAATGAATCTACAACTACATATTCAATTAATGTTCAGTGAAGCAGGAAAGAATAGCCAACAGAGAAAAAGACAGTCTTTTCAACAAATGGTGTTAGGAAAACTGGACAGCAATATGCAAAAGAAGGAAACTGAACCACTTTCTTATGACAAATACAAAAATAAATTTAAAATTGCACAATGAACACATAAAAATTCTAGAGAAGAAAACACACAGTAACCTCTTTGACCTTAGCCATAGCAACTTCCTTCTAGATATGTCTCTTGAGACAACGAAACAAAAGCAAAAATAAACTATTGGGACTATATAAACATAAAAGCTTCTGCTCAATCAACAAAACTAAAAGGCAACCTACAGAATGGAGTACATATTTGCAAATGACATATCTGAAAGTGCTAGTATCCAAAACATATAAAGAACTTGAAAACTCAACACCGCCAAAATAAACAATCCAATTTAAAAATAGGAAGAATATACATTTTTCCAAAGAAGACCTACAGATGCCCAATGGACACAAGAAAAGATGATCAATATCATTCATCATCTGGGAAATGCAAATCAACACTACAATGAGTTGTCACCTCACACTTGTCAGAATGGCTAAAATCAACAGTACAGGAAACAAGTGTTGGTGAGGATGTGGAGAAACGGGAACCCCCTTGCACTGTTGATGGGAATGCAAACTGTTATAGCCACTCTGGAAAACAGTATGGAGTTTCCTCAAAAAGATAAAAATGAAACTACCCTATGAGCCAGGTATTTACCCAAAGAATAGAAAAATACTAATTCAGAGAGATATATGCACACGGAGGTTTATAGCAGCATTGTCTACAATAGCCAAATTATGGAAACAGCTCTTGTGTCCACAAACTGATGAATGGATAAAGAAGATGTAATATACATATACAATGGAATAATACGCAGCCTTTGAAAAGAATGAAATCTTGCCATTTCCAATGACATGGATGGAGCTAGAGGGTATTATGCTAAATAAAATGTCAGAGAAAGACAAATACCATATGATTTCTCTCATATGTGGCATTTAAGAAGCCAAACAAACAAGTAAAGGAAAAGAGAGAGAGGCAAACCAAGAAACATATTCTTAAGTATACAGAACAAAGTGATGGCTACCAGAAGGCAGGAAGCTGGAGTGATGGGTGAAATAGGTGATGAGGATTAAGGAATGCCCTTGCTGCGATGAGCACCAAGTATTGCATGGTAGTGTTGAATCAGTATATTGTACACCTGATATAAATATTACTTTGTATGTTAACCAACTGCAGTTTAAATAAAAGCCATCCTGGGAGGGTCCAGAAGACCTATCTTTCACCAATACTTTGAGAAATTTGCAAGGGGATCCCCAGCTAAAAACAGAAAATGTGGTGTACCCCTCTCCCCAACACATATACACACAGAGGAATATTATTCAGCCACCAAAAAGAAGGAAATCGTGCAACAACATAGATGGACTTTAAGGGCATTATGCTCAATGAAATAAGTCAGAGAATGACAAATAATGCATGATCTCACCTATATGAGGAATCTAGACAAAAACCGAACTCTTGGATACAGAAAACATTCTGTAGTTGTCAGAAGTAGGATAAAGAGTGGGTAAAATGGGTGAAGGTGGTTAAAAAGCACAAACATCTAGCTAGAAAATAAAGAAGTCAGAGGGATGCGCCTGGGTGACTCAATCAGTTAAGCAACAGACCCTTGATTTCAACTCAGGTCTTGTTCTCACAGTTCCTGAGAGGGAGCTCTGAGTCAGGTTCTGCACTGACAGTGGGGAGCCTGCTTGGGATTTTCTCTCTTTCTCTCTTCTGTCTCTGCCCCTCCTCCTCTCTCTCTCTTTCAAAATAAATGAACTTAAAAAAAAAAAGAAGTCATGGGGCTGTAACATACAGAATGATGACTACAGTTAATAATACTCAGGTATATTTGAAAATGCTAAGAAAGTAGGTTTTAAAAGTTTCATGATAAGAAAATAATTTGTAACTATGTTAACTAGACCTATTGTGATCATTTTGAAATATGTATAAATATACAATCATATGGTATACCTATAACTAATATCATGTTACATATTCATTATTTCTAAATTTAAAAAATGATTGGCATAAATTCTAGACTATTATTTAAACTAAAAGATATAAAAGTTGAGGAAAAGAAAAAAACTTACCAATTGGTTCAGCAAATCCTGATTCAGAAAACAAACTACTGTCAGTTCTAATTATAATGTCATATAGTATCATATTAACAAACAATTCTTCTGTGGCTAAGTATCTGGACCCTTTTTTTAGATTTTAGTCATATTTACTTTATTGCAAATATATTTTCATAAGTTATTTTCTTTTCCTTTGTTTTATATTATTAGTAATGCCCAAATTGGAATTTTGGGCTAAAATACATGCATAATTAATTATTTTAAATACTTGTTACTTAACAATTTTTTAGATGTTTATTTGTTGCGGACAAAATGACACAAAGGACAAGACACACACAAAAGACAGACACAGACACAACTCCGGCCGGAGGAACAATTCTACGCAAGCCCCTCTTGCGGTTTATTTTATACCCCGGTAACTGGATACAAACTGAAATCTACAAGATGCATTCCTTTACCAATTAAGGGCAAGTAGCCAAACACATTTCAAGGACAGCGGGGAGCAAAGGGAGGAAGCGACCACAACATGTTTACTAAGAGGCCTGCTCACAATTCCAGCCTTCTCCTTACTTCTAAGGAGGGCATGTTCCCTCGTTTGCAAGCGGACCATTAAACTTGGATACTGTGTGTAGGCCTCCTGGCAGAGCATCCTGTTTGCAGGAATGCCTTGCCCAGGCAGGGAGCCCCGTGTGCAGGCACATCCCTGCGTCCCTAACCACACTTTCTTGTGGTCACTGTCGGGCTCCCACATTATTTTTGATTGAGAGAGAGACAGAGTGCAAGAGGGGGAGAGACAGAGAGAGGGAGACAAAGAACTCAAAGCAGGCTCCAGTTTCTGAGCTTTCAGCATAAAGCCCAATGCAGGACTCAATCCCATGAAACGTGAGATAATGATGGAAGTTGGATGCTTAACGACTGAGCCACTCAGGTGCCAAGACTTGTTACTTGTAAATCTAGAGGTAACTACATCTAAAAATATACATGAAAAATTATTCTGTTTTTTCCTATGGCATCTCTGATCTGTTTATGCACATGAAATACAAATTAAGAAATACATCCATCATAAAATTGGAATTCATTTAGTGACTTTTGAGGTTTAAACATTCTTCAGATACTTAGCTTGACTTTTTTGTTGGGTGAATTAACTGTACATGTTCTACTATTTCTCAATAGAAACGAGTCTAACCTATAAAAATGACACAAACATTTTTGGTAAGTCAAACTTGCACTAGCGTCTACAGTATCATTTCTGCATAGTCGATATTGTTGGTGTCCCTGCTGTATTCTAAGGGAAGACCAGGATGGTTGGGGTTAGGGTCTCCTTACTCTAGTAGAAGAGCAAAGCAAATGGTCTTTCTGGAGCTTATTAAGCTTTTACATTATTGCCTATTGCAATAGGTTTTACACCATTTTTGAACCAGTCAAGAAGTTAAACTTCTTAATCTCCCTTCTTATTATATTTTTATTAGCTTTCCTCATCTCTTTGCTTATTCTTATGAATATCACATTGGGTTCAGCGTCAAAGACCAGTTTGACAATAGTACTTCTTTTAATATATATGATCTATAAATTTTTATTCTTAATTTTTTTATAATATCATTTATTATTTATCTCTCACACAGACAGGAAGAGTAGAGAAATATTAGAATTGAGGTTTTAGACCATTGACACTATAATAGAAATAGGGAGTAAAACTAGTTTACACTCTATAAATTTTAGGATTTCAAAATGAACTTACTGATAGATGATACAGGTTCTGTAAAACAGGAGAGGAAGGAGAAAAAACAAATATAAAGACATAAATAAGGTGTAGTATATGAAAATATATTCAATAAAGAAATTTCTCTATGTTTTGAGTCAGAAGAAAATTGTTACTTATGCAATTTTCAGAGGGTGCCTCAAAAAAAAAAAAGCCAAGTGAATTTCAAAACAGTTGAAACTATTTGTATTTAATGAAAGATCATTTTAATATCTGATTAATCCCGGACATTTGAATATTCTGTTTGAAGAACCTCTGTTGAGACAGACTCTTCTGTATTTTATCTTTCTTATCCAGGGCAAAGAAATATTCAGGGCAAATCTTTTAGCAAGGTGGTATAATGTTACAGTAGTATCTATCACTCTTTCCTTTTTTTCCAAAACTGGATTTTTGCCTTTTTTATAGGTTCCTTATATATTTTGTTTTGGAAAGGATTTTTACTTGTTTTGTGATCTTTAGTCATATATTACATGCTTTTAAGCTTTCCAGCAAATTGTCAGTAATCTCTAAAAAAAGCTCACTAATATGAGAGGAACACAGGAAATGAAATAACAACATTAAAATTTGCGAAGTGGATTATGGCCATGGCCAGACTTATTTGTCAAAAGATCTTTAGGCACATATTTTTCCAGATTGTATCCACATAAATGTAACTTACTGGAAATGTTCTCAATGGTTCCTGAAAAACAAAAATAAATAAAGGAGATTGGTTTGACCTACTATCAGAGGCCTACCCAAAATATTTCTTTGTGTTGTTTTAACATCTAGCTTCAAAGCCAGCTATGATGACCTTTCATTTTAGATTTTCTTGCAGAAACATACGTCTATGGATTGTACTTGTATTCACCTCCCTCTCAAATGTCTTTACAGACATTTTGTGTACTGTGTGTAAAGTTTATTTCCTTCTTTAATTCCTTCTTCCTCCCCCCTCCTTTAATTCAAAGACTAATTTCCTTCCCTTTGTCCATTGCATTTAAAATGTTGGTATTTTTTTCTGTCCTAGTATGGTCATTTAATTTTTTTAAATACAAAAAACCAGTTCTCTTGATATAAAAATAACTGTATTTCTCCGAAAATAAGTTTCTCTTTGTACAAACTAGCCGGCTTCAGTTATAAGTTAATCACTGATCACTTTAAATTAACTTTTGATCTTCTTAAAATTAAAAATCTATGAAAAAAATGTTATGCATGCTGCAGTAGTTTAGTACATACTGGTGTTATAAATAAGACAAAAACTTACTGGGAGCTGGTGCAGCTCTACCTGAAATACAAAACAAGTAAACATTAGCCCTTTTCATTAGCCTATTATTGGACTTAAACACTTGTTCATTTTCCTTTGAGGTATCTTTTGAAATGACAGGCCAGAAATACCAAAACTACAATCATCTTGGGGCACCTGTGTGGCTCAGTTGGTTAAGCGTCCGACTTCGGCTCAGGTCGTGATCTCACGGTTCGTGGGTTCGAGCCCCGCATCAGACTCTGTGCTGACAGCTAGCTTCGGATTCTGTCTCCTTCTCTCTCTCTGACCCTCCCCTGCTCACGCTGTCTCTTTCTCTCTCTTTCGGAAATAAATAAAAATTAAAAACAAAACAAAAACAAACTACAATCATCTTGTTCTTGTGAACCCAGAGAAGAAAGCTCTTTATTAAGGGTATAAAATAAACAGTCCTGGGATAGGAAAGAATATTAGAGGAACAAAGTCTCAGTGGGTCCCTAAAATATATTTAACTGTTCCTACACACACACACACACACACACCACAGTGACTGATTAAGTTTTCTTTCCAGCCTCTCAGAATTCCCAGAGACTGGAAAACCACTGCTTATTTAACCTTGGTTGTTTGCTATTTTAGTGCATTTATTTTTTCATTTCCTTTTTATTTTTCTTTTTTTCCCAGGTGTCATCAATTTTGAATTTAAAAAGTGGACTACTACCAAAATGCTTTTAGTTTGTGTTTCATTTCTCCCTTTAAGAATTAGTAGACTTTTTTTCCTTGTTAGGAAAAATTCAATGGGGGATGCTTGGAAGTTGGAATGAAAGTCAATGAAAATTAGATCGGTCTCTACATAACATAATCATAAAATACAATGCCAAAGTAGTAGGTTTTGATTCTTCTTTCAGCTTGAAGCACTCAGTAATTAAAAAAAAAAAGCCAAACAAATGACGACTTACTGGCTGATTCAGCAAATCTTAATTTATAGAAAACAATTGCCATTTATTATAAAAGTATAATATTTTATTACATTAGCAGGCAAGCTATAGTTTCTTATTTGGGACTTTTCCTAAATTATGCTTAAAACATCTCATCCAGTTGCAAATAGCTTGCTACAATTTTTTTCTTTTGTAATATTTTCTTGGTTCATGTTCAGTGAGTAGCTAGTGGCTAATCATTTTGAAGTCTTGTTAGTTAGTTGAAGAAAAACATATTTGTTTCTTTTCTATTCCTACAACATTTTTAGTCTTGCTCATTTATTTTTTTAATGTTTATTTATTTATTTATTTGGAGAGAGCAAGAGCAGGGGAAGGGCAGAGAGAGAAGGAGACAGAGGATCCCAAGTGGGCTCTGTGCTGACAGCAGTGAGCCTGATGTGGGGCTCAAACTCAGGAACCTTGAGATCATGACCTGAGATGAAGTCAGATGTTCAACTAACAGAGCTACCCAGGTGCCCGTAGTCTTGCTCATTTAATAAGCACTAAATCATAAATTAGTGAAGTTATAAATTGCATTTATTTGATGCTTAATGTTCATTCTTGAAAGGTTCTCTTAAGTGACTTCAGAGCTCATATTCTTTAACTATGTGAATCTCCATATGTCCCTTGTTGACATAATGACAACATTTGAGATTCCAAATGGACTGAATCCGGCTTCTCATAGGTATCATACTTTTTTCTCCCAAATACAATTATTTCATGCTCTTACTTTTGTGGGAAAAAAAAAGTGAATTTTCTTTTTGGGGACCATTTAATTTATATTCTTTACCTTTTTCTGTGGGTAAAAAGCACTTAGGAGTCTAGCAAAAATTCTTATCCTTTAGATTCCCTGCTCATTTCACTTTTATTCACTTTGGATTCAAGATTTAATTATGTCTGATAAGAAATTTAGCTGATTAGAATTTCTTGTAATTCATATCATCCAGTAATCAGTATGCTTAATTCAGAAAATGAACATACTCATGGATGGGTGTTTTCAGGATATTCTCAGATACAAAGAAAACATAACCAAAAAAATGTAACTTGTTTAGGACATGGATGCCTTTCTAGAGATATTATGGTAGGCTTCCTGGATTAAAATCAAAGTTATTAGTTTTTCACTTCCCAGAAAATACCTCAGAATACAGAAAATGAGACTAGAGTGAAAGCTCATTTTACTACTTCACCCATTTTGCTGATGGGTCTTTGTGTCCTTTGCTGGAGGACATCTACTGAAACCCTGGGAGAGGTGGGTAAATTCCTTTGGGTGCCCTTATGTTCCCATCTAGTGCAGGAAGAAGGTGGAAAAACTTTTAGAAAAATGGTAAGTTGTTTAAGCATTTCAATTTTAAAAACAAAACCAAACTTCTTATGTCTCAAATTGGGCTCTCTTTATAGATTCCAGCCTATGACAGTGAGGCAAGTTTTATTTTTATTTTGCACAGATGTGTTTCTTTTAGTTAACCAGGTATTTAAACTTTCTTGCAAACTCTCACAATCTACAAAGTTTTGATTAATAGATATGTAACATAAAATGGGAAGTAATAATATGATTTGCAAAGTGATATTATACATATCTTCATATACTCTTATCTTGGAAATATTCAGATTGAGATACATGAAAATGACTTACTGTAGGCTTCTTAGGGATTCTTAAAATACAAAAACAAATAGAAGAGTGTAGTGGATTGACTAATGGTCTCCCTATTGTGTTTTTCAAGGTGAGCTTTAATATCTAATTCCTTAGAGCCCCACAGCCTGGAGTCCTGCTGGCATAGCCAAAGAGGGAAAAAAATATTGTTTTACACGTGGGTATATGCATTATTTTTATGTTAGTAATTAATAAAATTTCTTGCTAATTACAAAAACAAAAGATCTTAGCATGAGAGAAAGGCTAAAAAAGAGAAATAAAACATGGATATATACAAATCTGGACATCTTAGGAGCCAGGATTAACAAAAGCTAACCATATAATTTAGGATTAATTCCAACTTTTCTCACCTTTTCCTAAGTTAAGGCAGAAACACATGCCTGAGAGGAGACTTAAGGTTTTGATGATACTGGTCTTTAGCAGATGTAGAGCATGAAATCATAATAGCTAATTTTATAGATCACTTACTATTCACTAGGTATTGTTCTAAGTCAGTAGCCAACTTAATCTTCACAACAATCCTATTATTCTTCCCATTTGACTGATAAGAAACTGGGTCCAGCAAAGTAAGTTGCCTGAAGTCACACAGCTATTAATTTGAGCTAAAGCAGCCAAATCACTGAGAGCCTGCCTTCCAGCAATGAGGGGCTGCTTCCCTGCATCCCACTTATCTGGGCTATAATATTGCAGCTTTAAGTCTTTCTCTTTTGAAACTCTATATTTTGTAGATGTTTAAAAGTCACACTTTTGGGGCATCTGTTGGCTCAGTTGGTTGAATGTTTCTGACTCTTGATTTTTGTTCAGGTCATGATCCTGGGGCTATGGGATCAAGATCCATGTCAGACTGCCTACTGAGTGTGGAGCCTGCTTAAGATTCTCTCTCTCTCTCTCTCTCTCTCCATCTGCCCTCCTCGCCCCCACCTACACACACACTCTCTCTTTCTAAAATTAAATTAATAAATAAAGAAATAAAATTAAATAAAAGTCACACTCTCCCCCTCATATTTATTTTTAAAATAAATCTTTTTGTCCTTCTGCGAGGCCACAGAATTATACACTAGGAGTCTCTCAAGGCTGTTTAATGCCAAATCTGGGATTAGAATTTGTTTTTTTCCAGTCTCAGGCTTCCCCCATGTTTCTATTTCTCTTCAAGCTTTCTAGTAGTGGGAAAAGTGAGATTGGTAAGCCTCTTCCATTTCACAAATGTTTATTAAGTATATGCCAAGGTGCAGGCACCATCCTTAGTACTGAAAAGAGTAGAGGAGAGTGAGCCTGCCCTTGAAGGACTTGATAATGTCATAAAGTTGAAGTTAGCAGTTATGTTAAATGATCACAGAAATGTGTAAGTATTTTATTAGAGGGTGGAGCAAGGTATTAGTGGAAGACTAAAGGGGACCCCAGTTAGGATATCTTTCAAGATCACTTCTTCAGTAGGAGAGCCTGGTTCAATGTAAAGATGCCTTAGGGTATAGGGGAGTGGAAAGAGTATGAATATATGGTATAAAGACATGAATGTGAAAGGTGAAACTGCAGCAAAGAGAAGAGAAGGTGTAACCTCTTTTTGGTCCTGAAACCTCCTTAAAACTTTCAATCACAAATAGTATTATGAAAAGTTGATGTCTTTGACCTCAGAATTTTTGTTCAAGACAGTTCACTCTAGATAAAGTTCAGGGACATATGATTCATTAGGAGAAGATATTTTCAGTGTGTTAAAGTCACACAGAATGAATCCCTGGAATATATATAATGCCAGAAAATCAATAAGAAAGGTTCCAGAAATGTAATAGGAAAATGGGCAAAGGATGTGACTAGGTTAATTGTAAAAGTTAAAGCTTGAGTGGCTAATAAGTACATGTAGAGAAGTGCTTCACCTCAGAAGTAATCAAGGAAATATAAATTAAAACAATCAAGAAGGAGGAAGTACCCATCAGAAAAGCAGAAATTAATGTGTCTGCACCTGCTATTTTCACTCTGACTGCCAGAGTCCTGTACTTCAACCTGCTTTACATCCTAAAGATTTTGGGTGATGATTTTTTTTTAAGAAAATGCAAACCCCAAGGAAAAAATATGAGATTGTTTATAGTGGCTTTCTATCCAACTAAACAATAAGATGTGTGAAAGATATGGGGTGAGGGGCACTTTCTCTTACAATTGGAGAATGTGTAAATTGTTGCATTCTGCTAACAACTGGAAATAAAAATAAAACTGTCTATTGGTAGAAATGCTAGCAAAATCCCTCCTGGGCACATAAAATGACAAGGGCTAGATGGTTGACCTCTGTGTTGTTTGGGACTTCTGGGATTTGGTGCCACCTTTGGAGTCTATCATTGAATGGGAAGGATGAGGTTTGGTAGATAAAATCTCTATTTTTTTATTCCTTCCATATACACCACAAAGTTCAGGAATGTTAATGATATTAT